CCCCAAAACCCCAAAACCCCAAAACCCCAAAACCCCAAAACCCCAAAATTCCTTAACAAAATTGAATTCGAACTAATATAAATTTCAATATTTTTGAGTTAAGTCTCTCATAAACACACAAAGCTTAGGATATAGGCATTTATAGATAAGTCTGGTCAATGTTAGCTTCGCTCATCAATTTCAGAGTCTCTTCTTTAGTCTCATTCATCACAAGGCCTCTTAGTGCAAGGATCACGTCTTCAATGTTAATTGACATCTTCGCACTCATTGGGATTATTCTCGTGTGAGCTACTTGCCTCAGTTCTTCAAACTTTTCACGGTAAGAAGTATGCTGTCTATCTCACTTGTTAACAACAATTAATGATTTGACATTTGACATTTCTGGGTTGTAAAGTTCGAGTTCTCTTCTTAAAATTTTGTAATCATTAATTGGTCTCCTCTCGTCATCACCAGTACCATCGATTACATAGAGAATTACCTTTGTCCTCTCAATATGTCTGAGGAATTCATGTCCGAGTCCTTTATTAGCATGAGCTCCTTCGATTAATCCTGGAAGATCAGCAATTGTCATAGCTTTTCCATCAACAAATTTTCAGTTTCCGACATAAGGTCTTATAGTTGTGAAAGGATAAGGAGCAATTTTCGGGAAAGCCCTAGAAACTGATGCAAGGAAGGTAGACTTTCCAGCGTTAGGGAACCCAACAAGCCCGACATCAGCCAATGTTTTAAGAACCAGCTCTATTTCTAACTCTTCTCCTTTTTGACCTATTTCTGTCGCAACAATATCTCTATGGTTAAAATTTCCTCTGCCTCCATTTCCACCTCGGCAAACTAGAAATTTCTTTCCTTCTTTATCTAAATCTGCTATTAAGATTTTATGTTCCTTATTTCTATCTCTATTGGTGGTATCTGGGTCAGCCCGGACGATTTTATATATCTCTGTGCCGATAGGAACAGTATGCATAACATCATTTCCATCCTTCCCATGTCTGCATTTTCCAAGACCATGCTGGCCCTTATTGCCAAAGAAGTGAGCTCTTTTGAGTTGGTAGAGGTTTGATAAATAAGAGTGTGCTGAGAAATATACATTTCCTCCATTACCTCCATCACCTCCGTTTGGGAGGATATGACCATAATTTGACCTGAAAAGAGCAGCTCACCCGTTCCCTCCTTGACCTCCTTTGACAAACACTCTGAGCCTGTCTGCATATTTTCTATCAAAGTTCACTGAGTTTTGAGTTGAAAATCTTTCTTCAATCATCATTGTTAGCTTATCGCTTTCTGGAATTTGAGTAGCTTGTTGGGTTGGAACTGGGTCTTCATCCGACCAAAAGCCATCATCTGACTAAATGAATGAGTATAAAATATTACATCAAGATCACTGAACTCATCTGAATCATCTTTCTTAATCTTCTGAGTAAAATAATCATCTTGCTCCTCTTCATCATCTTCAATAAACCTAAATTTTATAGATAAAGGATTACATGCTCGCATTATTATTGTCAAACTGGGATGTAAAGAACATTCTTGGTGTTTTACCCAAGAACTGGGTCCCTTTTCAGGCTCCCACCTTAGTTTGGATTAATCTATGCAAAAACATATTTTTGGCCTTAAAAAATCAATATTTATTACCCTCAAAGGGGTTTTGGGGTTTTGGGGTTTTGGGGG